ACATACATTACATACATTACATACATTACATACATTACATACATTACATACATACATACATACATTACATTACATTACATTACATTACATTACATAACATTACATTACATACATACATACATACATATATATATATATATACGTATACATGATTATAAATGTATATGTACACATATAATCACATATATATGTACATAGTTAGATTCAACAAATTCAATGTGATACTGTACAACTTTGGATCTGACTCCCTGATTCCTACTCAGAATTGATATCCTGTCCCAGCTCCTGCGAGCAGTGTCTCTGTGGGGAGGTTGCCAGTTTGGATGACCCAAGGCTTTACCTGGACTTTGGCCTCACCAATCTCTTCGATGTGATCACAGGATCGAGGAAAGCGAGAGAAGAGAAGCCCCGTGACGGTGTTGGCCCAGACCCGAATGCCAGGCGCACAACGGTAGTTGTAGCGCAAGACTTGAAGGTTGGCCTTGGCCCAGTCGACCTCGCCCAGTCGATCGCCCGGTCCTCACAGGACAGTCCCGGATCGGCGCTGCAGATCAGATCGGTTTGTCCACAGGTGTCTGATGGTGTCTGGGTGTTTTTTGGAAGGTCTGTGTGGGTAGATTTGACCCACTTTTCTTGAGATTGAGATTGCACGTGACGACGGACGACCACAGGAAACGTGAGTGAAGGGATTCCAAGTCATGGGTCATGCCAAGTGCAACTATGGTAACTACGGACATGGAAGTCAACAGTGAAACAGGTGGCCAGCTGAGTCCTTGTAACTCTTGGCTCCTCCTGTGTGCATCAATGATGTCAGCAAAGCAAAAGGCACACCCTGGATTGATCGTTTGACAGGTATCCCCCGCAACGGTGAAGCCATCTGGGCGCCGGCACATCTGAATAAACGCCGAGAGTTGGGCGGGGGCAAAGTCCTGCACTTCATCCACGTAGACCTCGTCATACCACGATCTGTTTGATAGCAGGTCACGGAGTGTCATCGCAGCATCGACTTCATCGCGCTGACCAGTGCGTTCCTTGATGATCGTGTACATAGAGAAGGCTCGGTGGATGGCACGCCGGTTGCTAGGTGTGAGTTGAACACCTTGCCCGCTCACCTCGTTTTTCAGGTAGTCGTCTAGGCTGATTCCGTTCCAGTGCCAACCAGTGAAGGGCCGCAATGCACAAGTAAACTCAGTCCACACAGTCTTGGCGGAGAGGGCCGACAAGCCACCACAGGCAGCCTGCAGGCTCGGAAAGATCTGAACTTCAAAGACCGAAAAGCTCATGGCTGATCCTGCTCCAAAATGAGACGCCAGCTGGTTCCATGAAAGGCACATCACGCCAGACTGAGGCGATGCCACCGACCCCATCACAGAGGTCACAGGGACACCTGCTGAGCTCAATTGTTGCACCACGCTGTCTTTCAACAGAAGCGATTTCGTGACGAAGAGCTGAGATGGCATTGGCCTTCCCTCCTTCTCCGCCTTCTCCCTTCGGCCAATGATGCGATGGATCAACACAAGTGTCTTGCCAGTACCCGAACGACCTTGAAGGAACAAGCTGTGCGGATGTTCCACAGCATCTGCTTGTTCACAAGAAAGCCGGAGAATGTCCGCTGTGTGACCGCCTGTCACCGGCAGGGAGGTTCCAACTTCTTCTTTTTCCACTTGCCGTGCAGCCTGAAATCGACTTTCCAGCTCCGCCAGGGCCTTCTCCACCTGAAAGCAAAGGCGCGCAGCGCATTTGGGCACCACAGCTGAGATCTCATTCAAAGATGCCGTCATCTCACGGATCTCCTCCAGAAGTTCATCGCTGGCCTCTACAAAGGATGCCTCTGCTTGCTGCACTCGGGACTGCAAGGCCCGCAAGCGCTGCACCAATTCTGATCGATCATCCTCGAGGGTGGCGGAGGAGAGCCACTCAGTGTCCAAGGGAGAAAGCGATCGCTTAGAATGGAAGGCTTTTGCTTCGCGGAAGAGTTGCGTGGCAAACTGCTGCCGCAGCAATTCCATTCTGACCAGGTGCTAAACTTGACCCTAGTGAAGGCCCTAGTGAGTGACCAGTGCCCGACCTCTTGAGTCTATTGCTTGAGTTTGTATGATCAAAAGCATCGTAATAGTAAAAATAGTTTTGCAATATCGAAGAAAACAAGATCATTATATTACTAATTAACTGTGTCTGTGTATATATGCACACACACACACATTAAATAAAAAAGAAAAGGAAAAAAAAATATACATGTATATATATATATAAGTGTGTGTGTGTTGTGTACCTTGGCGCCTTGCGTCCCTTGGCACCTGCATCTCAGGTAAACCCCAAAGGCTGCGGATTGACACAGAAAGGCCGCTCAAAAATTCCTCCTTGCACTCTGACCTGCCCAAAATCCAGCACTGAAAGTGTCAGGGAAACCTCAAAGCCAATTGGTGAACCTGTTGGTTTGACACCACACGGTCCTTCCAAAGCCAACTAATTACCCAAAAAGGAGCTAGCCCAGTCTACCGAGTCGACCTCGTCGCGTGGACTGGGTCTCGCGTCGACTCCCATCCGCGGGGTGGTCCGCCCTGCATGTCCACCGTTCCATGGGTGGCATTCCTGATGTCGGTGGTGTTCCATGGGTGGTGTCGGAGTTCAGACTTCTGCCAGTGATGGTGTACGTGCGCAAAGGAAAACATCACATACATGCACTTGGCCGGTAGGACACCATCTCAGCTTCACCACTGGGACATCCCATTTGCAAACGTTTGTATTGTTAGAAAGCACCTCGTTGGTAGACCAAAAGCTGGCAGAACTCCGAAAGTTCAAGGACCCAAACATGGAACAACTCCATACAACAAATGCAGTTTGACTATGGCGTCGTACTTCCTTGACTATGGTGGTATGACCAACCACTGACGCCCCCCCTTCTTGCCGTATCTCCAGCGGCGACCGACCGGACCTTCACCGAGCGACTCGCCTCCGCCGAATCGAGGCATGGGGCGTGACACCGGACCCAGCCGAATGCGATGGAAAAAGGGCGTGAGAGTCGCAGAAACAAGGCCAAAGGACGGTGCCAAATGTGCAAAAAGAACGTGTTCTATAGGATATACATGGATATACTATAGGGAGTTCTATTGTTTGATATTTTTGGTACAAGTCCGAACTCGGTTTTGAGCTTGAGCCGCAAAAAGGCAGCTCGTTCACGTCCCCCTAAAATAGAAAATGCGAGCAAAACTTCTGAAATCAACAAGGGGGTCACGCACGACAGGTGGTTGAAACATCAAAAACCGCATCCACACACAGACTCTACTGGTCACGAAGTTCTTTTTGGGCGATGCGTGCCAGAAACCAATGGAAACCAGGTCGTCACCAAAGCCTTCCAAAACTCTCGAAAGTCTACAGCGCCATCGCCATCAGAATCAAAGACCTTCATCATATCTTCCACTTCCTCCCGCGGTCGATGAGAAGAATAAAAAAAACAACATTGCACTTCCAGCAAAATCACCTATGCTCAAACTGCACAAGAAATGGATTGATTAAGCACTATATGTAAACATAACACACGCATACACACAAATACATGTGTTTGTTCATGTTTGATGCATCTAAATAGACGATATAGGTATACAGTACAGTATATACACACTCTACATGTATATCAGTGCTCTGACCCCCTAACTCAAACAAGGCCACATGCAACACAACCCTATCCAACCCTGCTTCCTCCAGGCTAGCCTCAACCTCCACTCGTCGCAAGGCCCGCTGAAGCTCCAGCTTGTCAATGCGGCCATCGCCATCCAGATCCAAATCTGCGAAGATTTCAGCACCTTATCAGTCCATCAGACTCACACAGTTGCTAGCTTCATTGGAAAGACATGGGGTTGTTGGAAGCTCTCTCCAACCAAAGCACCTTGGCTTTTTGGTTGTTTCCGTCCACTCAAGGGTATGAGACGCTTGGAGGAAAGACAAAGCACGCCATGCCCACCGCCCATCAACATCAACCCCAACTGGTCATTTTGGACGATACCCTCACCTGCTCCAGCTGCGGCATCCGTCATGGCCACGCTCCCGCCCGCCTTGTACTCCCAATGGCCGCAGGCACCGTACTCCGCTTGACGGTGCATCTCCTCTGTCCGGATTTGGACCTCGAAGGGCTGCCCCTGACGTTCCGCGATGAGGTGCAAAGAGCGATATCCGTTGGGTTTGGGATGGTTGATGTAGTCCTTCTGCTTGGAGGGGCGCAAGGACCATAGCTTGGCCAGGATGTCACGGACCTCGAAACAAAGTTCTTCAGCCCTTTGTGCTGAAGGGGCGTCTAGGATCACACGAATGGCTAAACGATCTAAGATCTCTTCGAAGCGTAACTTCTTCTTTTCCATCTTCTTCCAGGTGCTGTAGGCCGATTTAGCTCTTCCAGACACTCTGAGCGCTGACAGATCTCTCAGAGGATTTCCCTTCTGCAAAGCCTCTTGCAGTTCTGACACCGCGCAGGTCACCCTGGCTTCCCCCGCAGGCCCGGCCAGGCGCCTGCGGAGCTCGCTCCGCTGGGCGGGTTGCAAGATCGCGAAGGAAGCGTCTTCGATCTCATCTTTGATCCTTCAGGGTTTGGGGCGGATGTGTTCTCCTCAAGTCGAAAGGACTCGCCTGCCTATGGGCCTATGGGCTATTTTCTTGACCACACTGGTTGACCACTTGATTCCGGGTGCACGCCATGAGGTACAAACATGCCTTTCCAACTTCCAAGCCAAAGGTTAAACACCTGGCCACACCACAACAACGCCCCACACCACAACTTGTGTCCTTCCCAAACCCAAGAGATTGGCCAAAGCCGCAAAGACCGCAGTCCCCAGCTCCGCGCGCCGTGCATCGACTTCTTCAGCGTGCGCGCCGCCCGTGCCGGGCGCGAGGAAGGAGCGCGCGCGCAGCTCGGCGGACTTGTTGGCGAGGAAGACGATCAACGACTCTGTGGAGCGGCTCTGCGCCTGCTGCGCGGTCAACAGCGACATGGCCAGGTCCACCTTGCCAGGCGTCAAGGACTCAAAGGTGCGAAGGGTGCGCTCGATGGCCACGAACTGTTGAAGTTCCACCAGTAGGGTCGCCACTCCCTGACCAAAGGCCGCTTCCACCTGCTTCCGCGTGAGGGTCCCTTCTCCCAAGACCGGAGCACTGCCCACGGACAAGGCGGCGGCCACTAAGGCTGGGACGCTGGCTTGCAAGTACCTGAGCTGTTGCAAGGTGAGCAACAAGCAGCGCCGCTCGACTTGGGGCAAATTCTGCCAGCGATGCCGGACAGCTGCACTGATTGCCATCACACAACCCACAGGATAGGATGCGCAAAGGGCACTCACGGCCGCTTCCATGAAAAGTAACGTCACCTCCAGTTCCATCGCCTGAAGCGCCAGTGTCTTCACGCTTGAAGGTGGCGCTGCTTCGGTGCCCTGGGGCATCAGCCGAAAGGAGTTGAAGGAATTTCCAGGTTTGTCCAAAAACACCGGCTCCGCACCCACCTCTTTCTCTGCCTTGGTGGCACATCTCCGGATGCGGCACTTGCCCGAGAACCTCTTTTGACCACACGCCACTCCAGCGGCCACGACATAGGGGCCATGCCAACCAGGTGACTTGCGCGCTTGGTGGCGACCCCAGGATGCAAGGCTTGGCCGCCGCAGGATTCCGAGCCCTCCATCACGCTCCCAGAACGCGGTTGAAACGGCTGCCCATTGCATGTCGAAACGCGCATGCAACCCAATGTTTGCCAACCGGCCGGTAGGAACAGCACTCAAGTAAAGTTCCTTGTTGCGCTTTGTTGTGGAAAAGGTGCCCTTGCGGAGGTGTCAACATGGAACTCGAGTATGCAGATGTGGGGGGGGCAAAAAGATCTCTTAAATCTAGAAACAAAACATGACCAGTTTGAGACCGTTCACAAATGTGTGACAAGTGAAAATGGGTATTATCTGTTGGTGTACATGTGTACATGTTCGATGTGTGTTTGTGTGTCAACACCTGTCTCCAAGGCGGTAGCAAGTCCTAATTCACTTTCAGTGGGTTGTTCATCACATGCAGGAGATGCCGGGGAAAGATATGAGTCGAGGACGCTCGACTCACGTACCTGCAGGCCTTTTTAAACCTTTTCTACAGCGCTAACAAGCTTCCATCATTTCACCCATGTTCAAAAATTAAAATATTTCTGACCCAGCACTTCTTGCAGTTGAACCAAGTCAAGGTCTACCTGCAGTATTGTGGAACTTCGTCAACTGACTCAGCTCTTGCGAGCAACAATCTAAGTGTGTGCCGCCACAGAGTCCCACTGAGGGTTTCTCATTTTCTGTCGTGCAGTTCTCACTTCTCTCCGGTGTGACTGCCGTGGACTTCTCCGCCTCCATCTTTGACGGCCCCTACGGCATCCTATGGTCCGGCCCCGCCTGTTCAATATCAGGTGCCTCCTCTATGAAACGCGCCCTCAGAGAAGTTCGCTTTGCGGCCCCCGCGACCAAGCCTCCTGCAACTACTCCCTCCCCAAAGCGTGCAAATCCGGCGCCTCCTACTCAAGCGCAGCAGTCGTCGGAAGGAGAGGACAGCTACCACGAGGGCCAACCCAATCCCAGTTTTCGTACCCCACCTCGTCCTTCAGCACATCCAAAAAAGTGTCCAGTACAATAGGGGCACCGCAAACCATCGCACAATATTTGTGGACTCCGTGCCACATGCTAGCCTCTGTGCCCTCCAGAGCAACCCAGGCTGGACGCACAGGAGTTGACGAGCACTGCTAAAGATTGGACAGTCGGATAATGTCAGATGCTGTTTGACACTTGGTCTCCTTGTTTGCTTGTCCTCATGTACGTTTCGCTATTGGGTGATATGCTTATTGTGGTTGGCACCCCTAGCTGGCACACATACTCTCTGATACCCGCCATACCGGACATGCTCGATTCTTTGGGTAGCAAAGCATTCGGCTCAAAGAGGTTATTCTCTCCAGGTACTCCAAATGGCTGCTTTGCGTCCTCTGCCGGCGCCGCCTTGGAAGGCAGTACACGCA